ACCGAGGGTTTTAGAAAGTATACAAATGTGGACCCAGATTTGAATACTGAGTATGCACTTCTTGATTCAGGACTATATAGATATTAGAATCAAATTAAGAAAGGCAGAACTGGGGCCTGACACCCTTTTATCCTGACTAATGGAAGAAGCTAACAAGGATTTTTAACAACTGAGATAAGGCTGAGGAAGACATGAAGATAGAGAAGCAAGCTCAGGAATTGGCTGTTGTGTTGGGATGACCAACTCTCTTTGCTCCACCCCCACCCCTCGGGGAAACCTGTTTGGTTCTAGCAGCAAAGGAAGAGGGCAACAGAAGTATGGCGCCTCCAGATCAGATTTTGTTCTTATTCCAGGATTCCAAGAGAAGGGTGCATGCGTAGATATTTATGGCAAGTGTCCCAGATGCCTCCTCAATGGAACCCATCTTGAAATCTTACACTCTATCTTGGATGTCAGATGCATGTGCAGCATAGAAAAACAGAAACAAGGCAACCACACCAAAATGGAACTATGCAACCAGGAAAACCCATCCCATTTTTGAAAGCTGGTGGAACTGCCTCTGCAGCTAATCTTCCCACTATAAAAACCCCTCAGTGTGAGCACAAGGAGATAGTGCTCTCGGTGGCACTTCTCCTCAGTGGGACACACTGTGGTCTATGGCATGTCTCTCCTGAAGGTCTTCCCATACATTTATAAAGCTCTTTAATACCATGTACAAAAAAGGAATAGCACACATGAACACAACAGAAATGAAAATGAAAAGAAAACCCACATACAAAATGAACTCAGCACAGAAAATTATATGGAACAAAGAAACCAGCAGCATCACAAAACATAATGACAGCAATCAGTTCATGCCTACTGATAATTACACTGAATGTAAATGGATTAAATGCACCAGTCAAGAGACGGAGAGCAGCTGATTGGACAAGAAAACAGGATTCTTCAATATGATGTCTACAAGAGACACATCTTAACACAACTATGTAGGTGCACACCCATGTTTACTGCAGTACTAGTCACAACAGTAAAAAAACGGACACAGCCTAAATACCTATGGACAGAAAAATGGTCAAACTTTGGTAGCTACACACAATGGAATACTAAGCAACTTTGAAGAATAATGATGAATCTGATATGGATGAACCTGGAGGACATTAGGTTGAATGAAATTAGTCAATCATAAACATTGCATGAGACCACAGTTGTAAACAGTTAAGAAACGGTTTTCTTGATAAACGAAATATTCTAAGATGGTCATAGGGTGGAGTGGGGATGGGTTTCACTATTCACAGGCTAGAGGGTAAACACATGTTAACAAGGGTGATGGCACAGGCATGTACAACAAGAGGGAGGTTAGCAAAATACAGAGGAAGGCATCGGGAGACACAGGGAGGAATGCGACAGTTAAAGTGAATACAGGTTTATACTGTGAACTAATGGTACATACAGAGGATTACAATCATTGACATGAAGCAAAGTAGATGATTTATTGAATATAAAACTAATGATCTGTTCTGTAAACCTTCATTCAATAAAGGAATTATTTTTCAACATAAATTGTTTTACAAATTGTAAAATAATTTTAAACGTAAATTTTTAAACAAAATTGAAATGAACTTCTTGGTTGATTCAAGAAAGGGAAAAGCAGGCTCTTCAGACCACGACTCTATCACTTGCTGGCTGTGTAATCTTCAGTTTCTTTCCTAGCCTTTCCAGGCCTTTGTTTCCTTAACTATAAAGAGTAGATAATTACATCTTTCTCACAGCATTGTTTTAGTGATTAAGATAACAAATGTAAAGTGACTAACACAAAGTCTGGCAAAGAGCAGACATTCAATAAAGGTTAGTTTCATTCTTAATTCCTAAACTGCCTGCTGATACAACTGAAGGTCACCTTTGGCTTGTAGTTGTATAAGAAGAAAAGAAACTAACAGTTGTATAGCTCCAATACACAGGGTCTTTTTACTAGCACACCCTGCTTTTCTGAAAGCATTATCTCTACAAAACTAGAGACTGTGAATATATTCCAAAAGATTTAGGTCTGAGGAAGACAGACATACATGGCCAAACACACATAAAAAGGCTGTTACAAACACAAATATAATTTTACAGATGAGAAAAACAGTACAAACTGAACTGAAATAGAATGTTAATATTGGCAGATCTGTACATTTTATTCTTTTAAGGAATGATATGTAGGAGTCCAAATTATATTCAGAAGATGCATTTATACATAGGGGATCTTTATACGTATGGAATCTAAACAAGAAAAATGAACTGGCTATCTTATTGACTAACATCAACAAAAAGAGCCCTAGTAATATAGTGGTTTACGAGTTGGGCTGCTAACCACAGAGCAGCAGTTCAAATCGACCAGTCACTCCGTAGCTGAAAGAGGAGGTTTTCTGCTCCCGTGAAGATTACAGACTCAGAAAATCTATACAGGGTTGCTATGTGTTTGAAATTACTCTAGAGCACACAACCACCACCACCGATGTCAACAAACTAGGATAATATGACCCTTACTCTTATAGCCTTATAAACAAACAGTATTCCCATCCAGTGAAGAGGACTTAACTTCCTCTGATCCATGCAACATTATACAAAAAAAATCATAGGTCCCAACTTCCTGTTCTCTAAGATCCATGCAGATCATCCACATCTACCCATTTAGACCTGCCACTTTCTGACCCAATTTAACCGGACCTTTCTAACTTGATCAGAAACACATCATTGGCCAAATAACCACAGTCATCTACTCTAATAATCTTTTGGGTAGCATAACAATCTGACCATATAATAAAACTATCAATACTTAAGGAAGATTCATATCCTAAAATTTGGTCAGTTCTACTTTAACTTTTAATATGAATTTTAAAAAAGCATAAGCAAGAACAAAATTGGCAATTATTACAATTATCACAATGTACAATAGAGCAGTAACAGACAGTTTACTTAAGAACAACTATTCCACAAAACCCTTTTTCACTCTAAATATCCAAAAAGACAATTAAAATTAAATCAACCTTTTTAAACTAACCATTCCTCTGTGGCCTGTTAAAATCACTTATCCTTAGTAAAAACAGTGTTTTAGTGTTTCATTATTGTTTCTTTTTTTTTTGAATGCCTTGGTTTGAATACCATATTAAAATCTCAAGTAGTGAAAATAAATAAATCCCAAAGAAGGTATAGACTGCATATGTGGACGGAATGCTGGGGACGTTGATCAAAAGGCTACTTTTTGGAGTTGGCAACTGCTCTTTCTTCCTTAATTCAGAGCAGAAAAACTGATTAACAGAGTTCTCTTGGCTTCCCTTTCTAAGATTTTTAAAAGGTATCTTTTCTTACTTGATGTAACAAAGTACCTAATTTTTTAACAGATTAAAAATTTCCATCTTCATAAGGGGATCTAGAATTAAATACAAATGACAAACTAAAGTGCTAGATGTCTGACAATTACAACTACTGATGTGATAGAATGAAGAGACCCCAGAGGAACTGGAAATATACTATGAGGGGGCTTCAAAATTTGTGGGGAAATTTCATTATCATTCAACTCCATTTTTCCATGAACTTATAGCTGTATTTAGTGGCATGGGTTTTGATTTCATAAGCAAGTTCACTTTATGATATTGCTCTGAGGGGTTTTGTGTTGGGCTGCTAATTCCAAGGTCAGCAGTTCAAATCCACCAGCCACACCAAGAGAGAAAGATGAGGTTTTCTGCTCCTGTAAAGATTTATAGCCTCGGAAACCCTAAGAGTCATTATGAGTCAGAAATGACTTGATACTATACAACCACCACCACCAATATAAATTCCTGATTAGTTTCACTTTCCAGTATACATATAATAAAACGAAAAAACACAAACAAGCCCACTGCCTTTGAGTCAATTCCAACTCACAGAGGCCCTGGGACCTACAGGACAGAGCAGAACCACTTCCTAGGATTTCTGAGACTAAATTTCTATAGAAGCAGACTGCCTCCACTTTCTCCTATGGAACAGCATGTGGCTTCAAACCGCCAACCATTAGGTTAACAGCTGAATGCTTCATCTACTGTGCCACCAGAGCTCCTGAGACATCATACTTATACCCCTAATATGTTAATTTAAAAGGTTTATTTTAATAGTAACTGATGTTTAGTTATATTTTTAGATTGATACTAATTAGGAATCAAAAGTCAATCAAGTACCTTCATGATTTTTCAAATACTTACAGAACTGACTTAATAACATTATTTTTGTCCAATAAAAAATATGCAAATTAAAAATTCTAGTTCAGGAGATATTTAAAAAGCTGAATATTAATAATTGTATCTGGGTCCAATACAAATGGAGGAAATATCTAACGGTACTGCAAATGTAAAAGACTGATCTATGCTCCAAGTCTAATTTACTGATATGAATATATGAATACCTTTGGGGTTCTTTTAATTAAGTAAAATAAGTATCAGGAAATTGATATATTATGAAAAATCATGAGTATTTTTGCTTTTATTTTTAATTACGGCATAGTGATTAAGGGTGCAAGGCTAGAAATTAGCATGCTTAAGGTTTGGATCTAACTCTATCACTTACTAGTTATGTAATCTTGGACAAAGTATTTAAACTCAACAATAGTACCAACTTTATTGGGTCGTTGAGAGGCTTAAATGAGTAACAGTGTGTTGGACAATAAGTATGCCCAATAGATTTTAGTAGTTGGTATCTATTTACTAAAATACTAAGATTTCTAATGTATAATGTATGTAATATAAAAATATATTTTTTTTTTATATTACATACATTATACATTAGAAATCTTAGTATCTACTTTTAATAGTATTAAATATATTTCTGATATAATTTTCCTTATATATCTCACTTTCCAATTGAAATAGGCAGTTTTTAAACAGTAAAATGGTGCATAATAATTTTTTCAACTCAAAATCAAATAAATATTCATCTGCAATGTGCTATATTTTTCACATTTAAGAAAGCTATATAATTTTTATTACCTGAGTCTCCAAACCCTGCTCCAACAGACGCTTAGCTTGATTTTCCACCTCAAGTCGAGCTCTTCCAATAAAAAGTAGATCGTTTTCTATTACTTCTATTCCAGAAAGATCTATTCCTTGAGAAAGGTAATCTATTAAAAAAAAAAAAAA